TTGTAATTATGATCCGATTCTATTCAAACCTCATATCAGGGGATTTTCGTCATCGGAAATTATGATTCCTTAGTCAAAATGAAAAAATTCAAGATGGCGATTTCAATATGGCAGATGAATTTTATAATTATGATATATTCAAAATTTATATCTGAGGGTTTTTTGTACAAAATATGATGTCGAAATTGAAACAGTTTTACTTGAATCATCAGGTACGCAGTAGAGTTAGTCGATAGTTTATAGACATGTAAGGAATACTTAGGTATGCCAATTCGATACAACTCCATCCCGAGAAATGTGAAGAAGCACACATAAGTAACTTTCTAAGAACTCATATGTCTTTGAATCAAAATCCTATCCTCTCACCATACTATGTAACGGGTATAAAAATAATCATAATGAGGCTTCAGAAGATGAGTCATTCACTTTATGATATTCGACTTACTTTCGTGAAAAGTCATAAATCAGTCCTGAGAATTACATAGGTATACAGCTGAATTCCTGATTACATTATTCAGCCAACGAGGTGTAACAAGATGATTCTATACAGTCTGTCCCACTTCAAACGGTTTCTCCTTTATATATCAGCTATTAGTCTTACGATTTTTATCAAATTAGGACCGGTATGAATAACTATACTAAATAACCATCAATATGATCAATTTTTCTGAGACAATCATCATTTTGGACAGTGCCGTGTATTTTTATCGAAATGAAAATGGTTTCAAACCCCCATATGAATATTTTCATATAATTTCTATAAAAGGTATCAAAGGAACAGGCAGATCTAAACATATACAGACTGTTTTTGGTTTTTGAACGCGTGAATAATTATTTACTCGGAAACAGAGAGTACAAAAATAAAAATATATCCTGGTTTTTTGTCTCAAATCATCATTGAACGTTTCAAAATTTGCAGTTGATCCAAACTCAGTATTTTTCGAGGCAGAAAACATGAGGAGCAATACTATGAAGTTAGTTTACCTGCAAAAAATCCTAATATACTTTCATGAAATATCATCCTCTTTTCATTCCCATTGGAAGGTTCAAATGTCCAAAAGGATGTTCATCTCTGAAAAACTGATCCTAATGATGATTATTGATACCGATCAGAATTTGGTGGAAATCGCAAGACTATAATAGTTGAGTTATACAGTGTGTCCCACTTACCATGCTCACCATGGGTATCTTTTCAACGGTGATAGATACGAGGTCGGTTGAATGACACCAAATGTGGAGTTTGTCAAGGCCTACTATAATGTGGAAAAATATTTTGATAAAATCTATTCTATCTTTATTTATGAAAATATTCAAATAGGAATCTCACATTCTCATGGCAGTTTTTCAAAGTGATTTCGAAAAAAATATGAAATTCATACCAATTCTTCTAGAATTTGAGATATCAGCACCAACTTTAGTTTTTCAAATGTAGGTCATAGCTCACTGTGACTTAGTTAAAAATAACTTTTTTTTCTCTCACAGATGATATGTCGCAGTGATAGTTTTGTGTTGATAACAACTGAGTTATCGTCATTTATACAAATACAAAAAATCATTTGGAAGCCGCCATCTTGAATTTATAAATTTCAACAAAAAATCATGATCTCCGACCTCGAAAACTCCCACTCACCAATTTTGAATAGAATCGGACAAAATTTTGTCCACAATACATTATGGAATTTTTGTTGACATTGAAAAAAATGGCTGCTCCAAGATGGCGGACAAGATTTGGTCCGAATCCATTCAAAATTGATGTGTGGGGTTTTTGAGGTCGGAGATCATGATTCTTCTGTTGAAATATATAAATTCAAAATGGCGGCTTCCAAATAGTTTTTTGTTTTTGTATAAATGACGATGACTCCGTTGTTATCAACACAAAACTATTACTGCGCCATATCATCTGTAAGAGAAAAAAAAGTTATTTGTAACCAACTCATAGTGAGCTATGACCTACATTCGAAAAACTAAAGTAGGTGCCCACTAAACATGAAAGCTTCCTGAAACGTTTCAATTCTACCGTATTGTGGATCATTTGAAACGTGACTTGAAACGTTCCCCAGACGTTTTCTACAGGCTTCTCAAATATTTTCCTGACGGAATAGGTATTCGGAATACATGGCTGAGGGCTGAGGTAAAACGAGGAATCTCTCGGGTAACTTCGGATAATTGCTATGAGAAGAGGTTTATGGTTCTAAATAGAGTTGAAACACATATGATTCGTTTAATCGAGATGATATTCCTACTGATGAGCTTGAATACTCAATCATTACCAAATTACAAAATATTAAATGGCTCTGATTTTGCCATTGTTACGCGGATGTAAAACACCGTCGAAGATTCACGAAAGATTCGATCTTGCACTCTCAGCGTGTGTGCGTGTGTGATATGCGATGCGCATGCGCAAATCCGAATTCCGATTCATGCGCAGGATCTCTGATCTGATCTCTCTCTGTGTGTCCGGTGTCGATGCACTTGATTTCGTTGCGTTCGGTATTTTCTATTTTTCAGATATCCATTGTGTATTTGTTGTCAGTGTCAGTCCAATTGTTGTATGTAGCCAATGTTCATTGGCTAAGTTAATAGTTAAGAGTTTAGTGTGTTATCAATCATGAAGGTAAGTCATTACTGAAATCAAAGAGACACTCACGAAGAATTATTCGACAGTCTGTAAATCAATATGGCCGCATGACATCCATAACAAAGACAGATATATTGAGTAAATCTGAAAATATTGTAGATTGTTGTGAAGTTATTTCAGAAACAGATTCTAATGTGGGCTTTGAAACTAATCTTGAGATTCATTATCCTTCAACCTAAACTATTACGGTTCCCGAATCAAAAAAGCTGCATTCACAACTTGTTGAAAATCATGTTTTTTCAAAGAAGGAGGGCCACCAAAATTTTGTCCTAGATATTAAAAATTGGCTACCCAAATACAGAAATTCATTGACCCATTCAGCAATTAATGACTTATTAGCTATTTTGAAAAATTTGGGCTTTGAGTTCCCGAAAGATGTGAGAACTTTTCTAAAAACGCCTACAAGTTGTGATATGATCAAAATTGACGACGGCTATTATTCACATTTAGGAGTTGAAATAGATATTTTGAATACATCAGATGGTGAGAACGCAACTTTTTCACCTGATAAACTAATACATAATATATGAGTTTGAATATAGATGGTTTACCTCTGTCTTAAAGTTCCTCTAGCCAGTTTTGGCCTATATTATTGTCGATTGATTCTTTCAATAGAAAAATAAGCAAACCTTTCGTAGCAGGTATATATCATGGTTACAAAAAACCTGATGATGTTAATGTATTTCTTAAGGAATTTATAACAGAATTCGAAGTTTTGGAGTCCAAAGGAATTTTGATAAATGATGTTAGGTTATTTCCGAGAATTAGTAAAGTGATTTGTGATGCTCCAGCTATATAAATCATTCTTGTTGTCTGTAAAAGGGCATAATGCCTACAGCGGGTGTACTAAATGTACAGAAGAGGGAGATTTTTTGAATTCTAGAATGACATATTCAGGTGTATCTTCAGCTTTACGGACTGATTTAACATTTGTGCAGAAATGTGATGAAATATATCATATCACAGGGCGTTCCAGCCCATTGCTTGATTTAACTATAGGTCTGGTTTCACAAGTAACTCTTGACTACATGCATTTAGTTTGTTTGGGAGTTATGAAAAAACTACTGACTTTTTGGGTGAAAGGAAAAAAAGATGTTAGAAAGAAGGATGTTCATATTGAGATGGTTTCTGACAGATTAATGGGAATGAAATCTCACATACCATCAGAGTTTGCTAGATTACCCAGAACATTGAAAGAAATGGATCGCTTCAAAGCTACAGAATTCCGTCAATTACTTCTGTATACAGGACCTATTGTTTTCAGAAATACTTCAACAAAACAGCAGTACATACATTACATGTCACTACATTGTAGTATTCTTATTTTATGTTCACCAGAACTCCATTTAAAATATAATGATCATGCAAACAAACTATTGGTGTACTTCGTACAAAATTTTGAGAATTTGTATGGTTTTGAATTTATATCTCATAACATTCATAATTTGATTCACCTGGCAAATGACTCTAGACTGCATGGCCGCTGAATAATTTCAGTGCTTTCAAGTTTGAAAATCATTTGTATCAACTGAAAAAAAATGTTAAACTTGCCAGACATCCTTTGCAGCAGGTTGTCTACAGAATGAAAGAAAAAAATGAATTGATGATCGTGAATAATGATGTCACAATGAAACTTGAGAATGAGGTAGAAAATACTTCAGTTTATCCTGGTACTTGTTTCAAAAGTAACTGGTCAAAAATTTTTGGAAATTGATTCATTTTATGAAGTACCACTCAGTTCTAAAAATTTCAATGTGATAGTAACGAAAAATATTTTATCTGATTACATATTGATTCCTGCCAGTAATATTTTGAAAACATGTTGTAAATTCCCATGTGAGGAAAACTTTATAATAATGCCAATATTGCATACTGAAATGTGAAAAGCGGTTTTTGAGAACTTTTGGAATGTTCTAACGTAATTTTTAAGTGTTTCAAGTTATTTTAAAGTGTTTCAAGTAATTTTTTCAAGTGTTTCAAAATTTTTATACGGAATTAAATTGATCCTGTCTGAAAAAATTATTTATTATAAATCAAATTTGTAATATATTGCAGCTGAACATTATTGCAAATTTTGTAAATTGTTCTGAGTTTCCATACATTTTATTTTTTCTAGTATACTATGAATTGATCTGGGATGTTGATTGAGTTACATTCTGAACATTATTTCATTTGTATTTATTCATTTATTAATACTAATTTTTTTCATTTTCATGGACATCTTCTTTTGTGTTCTGGTTGATTTCAGAGTTTTGACGGGATTTTAATCGAAGAAGACCACGGCAAAAACCTAGAAACCAACTAGAACATTGACGCCAGCTGTAAAAACTTAGATTCTTACATCTTCTTCTGTTTGAACTAGCTGTTATGTGATAACAAAAAATGTAACAAAGAAAGTGATCAGGTGATTATTCCCAATGATGATTCGAGTAATATAGGGTAGGGTGTCTGAGGTTTGACCTGATACACGTATTTTTTCGTTTTGTCGTGGTGGGACTGATGTTGAAGTTGGCACAACTTCTTGGTTTTGATTTTTCATCTCTGTCAAAACGAAAGCTATCAATTTGAAATTTGTGGAACACTTCACTATCGGTGATATGAAACATTCCATATTGATGGAGGCAGCTTAGCTACACTGGGTGTTTTTTTTTTCAAGTCCAAGGATACCAATTAAAAAAATCTGTAGGGTTTCATATCAGTGGGCTTGAGAAAATAACACTCAGTGTAGCTATGCTATAGAATTTATGCCAACTTTAAAACCCCATATTTTGAAAACCAGTCTCACCACGACAAAACGAGAAAATACGTGTATATTATTTCAATTTTCTTCTATTGATTGTCAAAAGTAAGACAGGTTGAATCTGAGATACCCTGTATAAGGGTGTGTCTGAAGTACGTGTAGGAGGATGTTGCTGACGTCAAAATGAGAACACAAGTTTCAATAATTATATGTGCGCAACTTATTCGATTTCGAGATACAGAGTGTAGAACTTGAATTCTTATTTTTGTTTTTTGTATAGTAATATTGTAATATTGTATTTTCAATAGAAAAATGGGATTTGATGTTAGTTTGGCTCTTCCATAGGTGTCTTTCCAGTCATTCGAAATGTTAAAAAATTTTATACGTACCTCTATCTTGTTTTCTAGTGTAAAAATCTGTTTTTCTAACATTTCTGTGTGAGAAAATATTCTTGGTAGAGGTCACTGGAAGCAACTGTTTTCGAATCATTGGTATTCGGAATAATCGGTACAAATGATTTTGAATGACAATATTTTTAAATTCGAAATTAACTCAATTTGTTGAAGGAATAATTTTTCTTCAATTCTATTCTGAGAAAGGAATCGGGTGTTATTACATTTCGAATGTCACAAATATTTTGAAATGTTTTCACAGAAAACAACATCATGAATTCAACTTTGACACTCAGTATCTCAGAAATAAATGACATTATGTTTGTAGGAATTTTTCTTCTCATTTTGACGTCAGCAACATGCTCCTCAATTTTCTACACGTACTTAAGGAACACCCTTACAGGTTGTAAATAAATGAGTGCAAAAAATTTCAATGGGTGATTCTTTGTCAGGAAATAAAGTGGGTCTTTCATATAAAAAACTAGTTTAATATTTGTACAAGTTTCTAATAAAAATATCAACATGACAACCGCCTTTTACATTAGATATAGTTCGATTCAAATACCACCCTATCCCTTTTATACCCCTTACGTATAAACAATAGGGGAACATCAAAAGGATATTCATAAGTACCCTATCGATAGCAGGAAATATCTGCCCAATTTAATTCTTGTAATTTCCATGGTTTTTGAGAAAAAAATTAAAAACGCTTTTTTGGTATCACGGGTTGCTCAAATGTTTTTCTATGAGAGACCCACTTTATTTTCCGATATAGAATCAGCCTGTGAATTTTTTTGTACTCATTCATGTATAAGTTGATGACAAAGAAATTAACTATGAAAATTTTACATAACTATAAAATTACTCATTTTTGTAGTGGGCTGTTGTGCAGTTCGAAAATGATGATGATTCGCAAGGAATTGAAATATCGACTGTGCCAAAAATATGGACATTTATTGATGGTATTAAAGGAACCCATTGCCTATGGCCAACATCGAATCCTAGAAAGCACATTCTTCTTCAAACCAGACCAGAAATCCACTGGAAGGCATACCAAATAAAAATGTTGTTTGAATGTGGTAAATCCGTTGAAAAAGGACATTTGAAGGAATCCTAATGATTCTTTTTGTAGAACAATACGAGGAGGCCTTGGAGTTTGAAAATAGAAAAGAACAAATCACGGATTCATCAGAAAATGAGATGAATAGTCATTTGAGCAGACAAGGAAGAAAAAGGAAGATTCCTAAAAACTATGATTTTACTGAAGATATTGAGAAAGATTCTTCTGATTGGTCTATTGCCAGACCTCCAGAACTACCCACTATTGATAAAGATGGACAGAGTAGGACTTCAACAACTAGTACCAGTGAGTCTCATTTCAACATTATTTCATATACAAAGTTCATATTTTAGTTGATTCATTTAACTCCAATAATGTTTCAGGAAGTCTTGATGAGGATTTTTTGAAGATGCCTCCTCCACCCCCAGTCACTAATGGAAAAGTGATCAATACAAGTGAGTATCAGTTCGCTTGCAAATTGAAGCTGTTTTCAGTTATAATGATTATGAACCAGTTCCAGAGTCTAAATCTGGAAAATCTCAAATATGTTAATATTTGCTACTCTTAGTTTCATCTCTTCATGGTATTATTTTTCAGATGTAGTGGATGCTGATAGCAATTACCATCATGCCACAGAAAACAACACTCATGATGACCATAGGCATCACATTGCTGAAAGAGAAGAGAATGATAATTCGAAATCCTCCAAGGAATACTCAGGTTGTTATCACAAAAAATTCATTGTTTTTTATGAAAGGAATGTGGTTTGAGAAGATTGGCTTCCCACACCACCATTTCCACAAATCGGAGGAAAACCTTGATATAAAAAACACACATTTTATATTTTTCAATTCAATAAACTCCAAAATAATTTTGACACACTCATGATTCATATTGATTTTCAATGAATCATACAATCCTTAAACCGAAATATAAATATTTGCAATATTTCTAGGATGTTGTGATCATGGAAGAATTTCGAAGGACATTTTGGAGAATAGTGTTGCTGTTAGGACCATTTTGGATGAACATCGGCGGATTTTGGAAAATATAGGAACTAAAGGTGAAGGTAGACCCACCATCATAACAGACTTCGAAACGGTGCTGTTTGGTACTTTGTACATCACCCTTTATGTTATATCTAGGTCAAGTAGTTAAGACACCATGTATGTCCAGTACTTTACCTGTATGATCCTGTATAATGGTAGTTGCTAGTGGTATTACCCTATATAGGATAGGATTTCATTTTGTTGTTATCATGACGACGTGTTGTTGAAAACATAAGATTGAAGAATAAAGTTGGGAGAGAAATTGCAATCGGTTGCAATTTCCCTTTTATTCTTCATATCATATCAGTTTTTATTCAACGATCGAAATACAGTCCACACTCATCACCAAGAGCATCGAACATATTGGTCTTATCGAGCAGGATCAAGAATCAGCAACTTCAATCATCGACTTCAATCATCGAAAGCAACTTCGAGTTCTCCAGACGATCAACGGTTTATGCTAGCAGCTGGGCCAAGCAATCAGACACAGCAGACGACCGCAAGCAGTTTGAAGAACAATATCAAATCATATCACATCGTAAGAAGGTAGAATTCAGTATTGTTCTCTTTCCTGGGTCAGTACAATTTACAGTTTTGACTTACTACCATTATTCGATATTGCAATTCATCAATAATAGTCGTATTACGTCCTATTCGAGCTACCTTTCATATTCCAAACAAAACATAATATAATATATTCAATTCACAATATAATTCAAATAATTTGTCACAATGACAGACTTGGGTGACTTAATCATAAAATACAGGGCGATTAAAGGCCAATTAACAAGATTTGCGAATTTTGTCGAAAATTTTACATTTGAAGAGCAGAATAACATCGTTGAATTGGAAATTCGTGTTGAGAAAATTGAAAACTCATTAAATGACTTAAAGTTATTGCATACAAGTATTCAGTTGATAGACGATACGAAAGTTTCTGATGAACAGTTTTCAATTTCTGAAACATCATTTTTCAAATGCCTAGGTATGTCCAAACGGCTGATAGCTGAAAACAAATCAAAAACAGTTAATCTAAATTCAAGCATTTCCACTTCTTCAACTAATAACACTAAATTACCCAATATTTCTCTTCCATTGTTCGACGGCGACTATAAGAAATGGACAAGCTTTAAAAATAAATTCGATTCTATTATTCATCAAGACAATAATTTATCAGATGTTCAAAAGTTACATTATTTGCAATTATGTTTGAGAGGTGATGCCGGTAAAATATTGGATCAGTTGGAAGCAACAAACGAAAATTACGAAATAGCACGCGAGATTTTGAGGGAACGATTCGAAAACACTAGGATAATAGTGAATAACCATTTATCCTCCATTTTAGATTTGGATTACATTCCTAAGGAATCACACTTGGCATTAAGAAATTTGCTGGATTCTCTTAACCAACATTTGAATGCATTAGCGTCATTAAAACAACCCATCGAAAGTTGGGATGCAATTTTAATTCACATCATTTCTAAAAAATTAGATAATGTCACTAAAAGAGAATGGGAATTATCTCTTGTAGGTACCCAGTTGCCGAAATACTCCGAATTCAAAGAATTCCTTACAAAAAGGTGTAATACTTTAGAAGTATTAGTTCCTGTCAATTCTAATTTAAAAAATGCAAGTCAAATCAATCATGACTACAAGCCATATCATAGATATCAAAAAACATACTCAAATGCATCATCAGTACCAAAATGCATATTTTGTAAAGGTCAACATTATATTTATTTTTGTGAAAACCTCCTAAGGTTACCTGTTTCATCTCGAATCATTGAAATCGATAAATTGAAATTATGTAAAAATTGTTTCAACTCCAATCACTCAGTAGATACTTGTAGAACCACGGGCAGATGTAAGAAATGCAATGAAAAGCATAACACGATTTTACATCATGATCGTAATCCGACAAATTCTTTAATTGTAACAGAAGGAACTCAAGAATCTGAAGATATTTCGACAATTTCAGCATATTTTGTTGGTAATGGAAATGATTATATTCTACTACCAACGGCAATGGTTCAAGTTCTTGATGAGAGAGGAAATACATATCAAGCCAGAGCCATGTTAGATAGTGGTTCTCAAAGTAATTTCATGAGTAGAGATTTATATTCAAAATTGAATTTACCAAAAACCAATATCAAAATGGAGGTTATTGGTATTAATCAAGTTCATTCAAATGTCTCTGAAAAAACAGTTGCTGAGATCATATCGCAGAACAGTTCATTCAAGACAAAATTAGATTTTTTATTGTTGGATAAAATAACCACCAGATTGCCATCAATTTCTGTTCGTGCAGATACAATAAATATTCCTAAAAACATGACCTTAGCAGATCCAAATTTTCATGAAACAGGAAAAATCGATTTATTGTTAGGTTCGCAAGTGTTCTGGAATTTATTATGTCAAGAGCAAGTGAGGTTAGGAAAACACCAGCCTATTTTACAAAATACTCATTTGGGTTGGGTGGTTTCTGGTCCGTTCAGTCCTAAGTATTGTTCAAATTCAACATTCTGTCATTTTTCTACTGCTAATTCAGAAATTCACAATCAAATTGAGAGGTTTTGGAGAATAGAAGATTTTGCATCAACAAATTTGCAATACTCTAAAGAAGAATGTGGATGTGAAGAATATTTTGCAAAAACTGTTAAACACGACCAAAGTGGTAGACTTGTGGTGAATTTACCATTTCGGCATAATTTCACAGATTAAGGTGATTCACAGGATTTTGCTATCAAAAGATTTCACGCGTTAGATAAAAAATTATCAAAAAACCCTAATTTAAAAAATCAGTACGTAGATTTCATGAATGAATATCAAATTTTAGGTCATATGACAAAAATTAATAATCATGAGCAAAACACACCATGTGTTTATTTACCTCATCATGGAGTGCTCAAAACTGATAGTGTAACGACAAAACTGAGAGTTGTGTTCGATGCTTGAATGAAAACAACATCCAGTATTTCATTGAATGACACCCTCAAGGTAGGCATTTTTAAAAATCTTGAAAATGATATTTCCTTTGGGAATTATTTACTCAACAATTCGATCGAGTGGAAATTTATTCCTCATCGGGCACCAAATTTTGCTGGAATATGGGAGGCAGCAATAAAATCTGCTAAATTTCATATGAAAAGAAAATTATCTAAAGTACCTCTAACCTATGAAGAACTGTATACTTTACTGACTCAGGTGGAGGCAATGCTCAATTCGAGACCATTGGCACCACTTACTAGTGATCCAAATGATTTATCTGCTCTGTGTCCGAGCTACTTCCTGATTGGTGAAATGTTGACTTCTGTTCCACAAGAGGATGTAGGCGTTATACCAGAAAATCGACTCAATCACTATCAGAAGCTCCAACAGCTTGCCCAGCACTTTTGGAAACGTTGGTCGTCAGAGTACCTCTGCCACCTGCAGCAGAGAACGAAGTGGAGGCGTTCATCTGAGCAGGTGCAAGTTGGTCAGTTAGTCTTGATAAAGGAAGACTTCGTGCAGCCATTGTTTTGGAAATTGGCGGGCATCATTGAAATTCATCCCGGCATGGACGATGTTGTTCGGGTTGTGACACTGAAGACACAAGAGGGTACCTTGAAACGTCCAGTCAACAAAATATGTGTATTGCCCTTAGAAGAATGTACCACATAATTCATTGTCTGTTATATTTGTAATGTAATTATTTATTTAGTATTTTGAAAGTTATAATCTTTCAAGGGGGCGGCATGTTTGGTACTTTGTACATCACCCTTTATGTTATATCTAGGTCAAGTAGTTAAGACACCATGTATGTCCAGTACTTTACCTGTATGATCCTGTATAATGGTAGTTGCTAGTGGTATTACCCTATATAGGATAGGATTTCATTTTGTCGTTATCATGACGACGTGTTGTTGAAAACATAAGATTGAAGAATAAAGTTGGGAGAAAAATTGCAATCGGTTGCAATTTCCCTTTTATTCTTCATATCATATCAGTTTTTATTCAACGATCGAAATACAGTCCACACTCATCACCAAGAGCATCGAACAGGTGCCAAAGAAACCTTTCAGTTTAATGAGAAAACTTATGAAGTATGAAGATATACTAAGAAATTCAGAAGAAGCGGAAAAACAGTTGGTGAGCACTTAATAAATATAGTACTTAATTAAATGATTTTTATAATAGAAAACCATCATTAATTACTCAAAATATAATTTGTACAAAGTTCATACTCGAAATCAAACGTTTCCAGGAAACCGCGTTTTTTATAATAGGAGGCGATGCAAACAATTCAATCAGAAGAGGTCTTGGGAAATAACTCAGCAATAAATTGGCCATAAAATGTTCTTTCTATGGAAGGAAGGGTAATTATACCCTCAAAGACTTGAAGTGTGTAACTATTCTAAGAGGTAAAAATTGAATTGACTCTTTGTTCATTCTATATTAACTGAAATTATAAATGCCAGAGGCATTATGAAAGCGATTTGGACTTTCTTTTAGTGACAAAGACTTTCAGAATACAATTGCTCAGTGGTTGAAGCAAGCTAGTTTGAGATATGTAAGAGAGCAAAGAAAATTGGAAACGACTGAGTAGAACTCTGATAAGCAAAACCAGAGGGACAATATCTTTTAATTTATTCATTTTTGCTTCTCACAATTTGTTATAATATGATGTTTATTTGAAAAAGTGTTTAATTCATTGGATATCTGAGAGAGCTCAATAGAATATTCCTGTAAACAAAATCACAGTAACAGAATATTTCATTTATTTTTTGTTTTGTTCATGATTATATGTATATCAACATGAATAAATGTTTTTTTTTTAATGTAAATCATACTGCATTCATTTCATCCATATATTTCAGATGCAAATTTTTAGTTTTCGAACTTGGTACCTAATAAACAATTCCTGAAAATCATCTATTGGAGAATTCTATAAATCTTGTAAAGTCCCTGATTTTACAAATTCACTGCCAATGATCAAATATTTGAAAATCCTATGTCTTTGATAAAACATTTCATTCATATGATTTCATTTTGCTCATGGGCAAGGAACTTGGGAAAAAGTATTTTTGAATAGGTGGACGAAACTATTCATGAAGATGTAAATCTTCATTTGAAACGTGGCTCGAACAGTTGTTGAAACGTTTCCAGGATAGTGTTGTTGAAACGTGTCCAAAACAGTTTGTTGCGACGTGTCTAGGAGGGTTTTATTGAAACGTGTCCGATACGATGTTATTGGAACGTTTCATGAAACTTCACTGAGGTGGGACACATTTTCTGAGACGTTTCCGAAACTTCAGAGAGACTTAAGTGGAAAGGTTTCAGTTATCCATAATACATTTCTGAAACGTTTCTGATACTGAAATATGTTTAGTGGGTGCTGATATCTGAAATTCTAGAATAGTTGGTATAAATTTTATATTTTTTCTCGAAATCACTTTGAAAAACTGCCATGGGAATGTGAAATTCCTATTTGAATATTTTCATAAATAAAGAAGTTACGGAGGAGACATGATAATGATCAAAATCTGTTTTTGCGTATAAAACAAAAACGAATAGATTTCATCAAAATATTTTCTCACATTATAGTTGGCCTTGACAAACTCCACATTTGGTGTCATTTAACCGACCTCGTATCTCTCACCGTTGAAAAGATACCCATGGTGAGCATGGTAAGTGGGACACACTGTATACCTATGGAATAGAGGAGGGGTCTGGTTTGATAAAGATGTTCTGTTCTTGATGAGAATCGCCTTATCTCGGGAATATTCATATCATCACTATTAGATATCATTGGTGATTCAAGTGGAAATATTTCCATTGGAAATACTGATGCCATGGAAATGGAAATATAAGAAATTCCCGAGAGTGTCTTGGGAATATTGAACATATTGGAATTATTCAAACCTTTTCAAATCCGATGTTCATTATGATATATCATTCATATTCAGCACTAAAAACTCACTATAGGAAAAGCACATATACCCACATCTCGAAATTAGCCTGTCGAACTTCATCACCGGCTTCTACGACCAAAAATAGGAAGAAAAGTTCAGATGAACATAAATGTCTCTTATATGAGGGAGCTACAGCCCCCTGGGAGGGGGGTCCTGAATATGATATTTCTTGAAAATTTCCGAAACGCCATGTGATATATAATAATGCAATTCGGTACAAGAACAAAACTTTCCATCAAGCTTTCCATGCCCAATGCAGTGAATATAAACCATTCCAAGATTTGCTCTTGTTCCGAATCAATCAGAGATGCATCATTTTCGAGGGAAATCGCTCAGAAAATATTGTACCTTCTCAATACATATTCGTTTTATTGTTAATTTTTAGTCATTATTCCAAATTTTTTGGGATTTTCTCTCCTCGTTTCTATTAAATAAAAATATGATTATTATTTCAATATACGTGTAGTAAGGACAAATCAGATGATTTGCCCCAAAATGTCACTGATAGGAAAATTCTTCAAACGCAGTGGGAATCAACACCCCAGAAGTCGAAACTTGTGCGGGGTTATAGGGTGAGCGAGACCTACGTGGAATTCAAACCACTTTTATGAAATCGAGGTGAAGCTAGGCTTAAAACTAGAAATTACATATTTTTAAGAAAAATGCTCAACCAAATGCTCATTGTGAATAATCACATCAAGGGAGCATACATATGTCCATCATCAGCCTTATAAGAAATTACATAGTCCTACAATGAGAACAATTGATAAAGTAACAAGAGGAATCCTTACCATAGAGATAGCTCACATAAAGATGGAAAAGTTTTTATAACAACCGTAGAGAATTGAAAAACATGAAAGTTGAATGGTTGGTTGTTTTCTTGAGAAATAACCATGGAAACCTCCATAGATGGGCATTATGGTGAATAATAAAAATCTAAAGGGGCCCCTAACATTTGAGGCACTTCCATGAGCAAGTTGATGACACAATGAAGATGAAGATATATATTTCTATCGTCAACAGAAAAGTTATTATTTCGGATGAAATTTCCACTTCCCGGTACATGAAGTGCAGATATCCAGATGCATGATGCATGTTCGAAAAACCAAACTTCTAATTCGAAAGGCATTTACTTTATTAATAGAACATTTCATCTGCGAAGCATTCAATGTTCATCACAATAATCAACTGAATTGACTTAATCTTCCTATGAATATGAAATAATTCAACACGACCCATCCCCCCCTTCATTAGGCCCGCGAATGTATTCAATATTCACAAGTCAAAAAGGGAAAATGTGTCCATAGACGATATTCTGAAGGATTTGCTAGAAACAATCAGCATTTATGGGTTGTCTTTGTCTAGGCGTATTGGCAACGCTGTACGACAAATAATATGATGGTCAGACATTTCATGCGACACTCGTGGACAGTAGCGAAATTTCTTTAGATTATGACTATTACCAGCAGAGGCAGCACCTTCTGGAGCGATTAATCTATTTGAGAGGAGTTTGGTAAGGGGTTTCGAAAACCCTATTTGAAAATCGAATAAATCATTGTTTATGACTGAAATAGTATTCAAGAAATCCGTATTCGTTACATCTTACATGAATAATCAAAATATATCATATTTTTCGAATAATATAGATTTTACAGCAACTTTCAATGATTAATTCACTATTGTAGGAAAACTGTGAGTTCAAAAATTTTCCAAACAATCAGGCATATTTTAATTCTTTGTTGAAAACTGCTGTGAGATTTTGACAAGAATTCATCGAACAGTTTTTGTGAAAACTAAAAAAAACCTATAAAAAAAGGAGTTTTGATTTTTTTTCTCAAAATTCGTACGATAGATTTCCATCGAAATCTCACAGAAGTTTTCAATTGAAAACCTTGATATATCAGATTTTTTTCAAAATTTTTGAACTTGCCTTTGTTTTTCACGTGGGTTTACATGAACCTCAACATAGTCGAAGTCAAAGTTTCTTGTTCTGCAAGCTGTGTGCATTATACCTGCTTCGAAGTCGTCTTGTATGGTCAATGCAAACTTGTCTGCTTCAATAGTGTCCATGTGAAATGATGGGATAGAGATATATCATGTGAAGTCGATGTATTCCCATTTGCCTATTATACTCGTCTTATACCCTTCAAAGTCGTCTCATACAGATACTGCCATCGTATCTGTTTCAAATGTATGCATGTAAAATTTTCGACTGCAGAGTTACAGTGTAAACATGGTCGAAGTCGAAGTTTCTTGTTCTGCAAGCTGTTTGCGTTATACCTGCGGAGATTATTGAATAAGAATATTTCAATAGAGAGAATGCTCCAATGGATGAGGTAACGGATTGAGATTGTTGGTTCGCGGATAATGTTATTGATACAAACGTAAATGAACTTTCAGAATTCCAAGAGAAGGATAGTGGCTGGGCCTTAAGTGAAATTGTTTCTCAAGAGGTAATTGTAAATAAATCAGAGATTGGAAATGGATCATCCTATATCAAGCTGCCAGAAAAATTTATGAGGAAGCATGACTGCATAAATTTGAAAAACAATGATGAGGTGTGCTTTGTCTGAAGTATCGTTAGCGCTTCACATCCTGCGAACCTCAATGTAGACAGGCCCAGCTCGTATCCTCATCATAGCCAAGTTTCGAATAGCGCAGGCTCGGATACACCCGTCACTATTGACAAAATTCCTAAATCTGAAAAACTCGATGCTATCCCGGTGAACGTTCACGCCGTGGAACTGATTTATGTAAAAATGACGGAGTATTTTGAAGTAGTAACCATCAAACTCACGGAACATAAGCAAACCAGACATGTCAATTTACTACTCATTTGAAGTGAATATTTCCCGAAACTCAACGATCATGATGCCTTACACGAAGATGACTACGATGAAGACATAAGGTATCATTATTGATATATAAAAGACGAGTCCAGACTGCTAGCCTCACAACTCAATGAAGATCATAGGGAAAAACATTTCTGTTATAGATGTCTGAATTATTTCTCAAGTGAATCCAAATTGGCAGATCATTGTGTTTTATGTGAAAATGTTAACGATTGCAAAATTTCATTTTCCGAATACGATTCGGTAGTTTTCAAAAATTCTATCTATAAGCAAAAAGCCGAATTCATCATCTACGGTGATTTCGAATCGGTCTTGGAGCACTGTAATGACACAATTTCCCAAAAACATTGCAAAATATCAAAAACATACAGCCTTCAGCGCAGTTTACCATTTCAAATGCTCATATAATGATAGCTTGTCCTACTACAAGAGTCATCGAGGTCCTGATTGTATGGATTGGTTTGCGACAGAAATGGCAGATGTCGCTGAATTCGTAGTCTTAAATCAAAGACATTGTTCCTCTGACTCATTTTCCAGATAATGTTGGTATAACACACTGCTATATCTGTGAAAAGGCATTTGCGTATACTGAAATCATTGTGAAAGACCACCATCATTTCACTGGTGCCTTCAGGGGGTGGGCGCATCAATCTTGTGATTTGAGGTATCGCAAGTCCTTCGTGGTGCCCATAGTGTTCCACAATTCTTCCGGATATGATTCTCATTTCCTTCTGGGAGAGATTGGTAAACGTGGAAAGGTGAGCGTTCTTTCGATAAATATG